GATTTTGACGTTGCACTTGCATGGCGTTCAACTTCAAAATAATATTTATTACTTAATCATCCAGTCCGTTACATGCTAAATTGTCATCGCATACAGATGTGATGTTTTTCAGAACTTCTCTTTGGTTTATTTTATCTGATTTTAAGTTGTGTGGTTCTATATTTTTCTATATATTTGAATTACATCCGTCAACGAAAATCAAGGTATGTATTCAGCAGTGATTACCTGTATACCTGCAAAGTATCTTAAATATTGTGATCAAATTTAGACGACATTTAAGGGACCAGTTATTTGAAATTATGTTTACTCGAAAAAGACGTTAAAGGTAATTTAAAAGTAAAGCTTTTTGACAAACGTGATGACTTTAACTTTTCAATCGTCAACTTCCCTTACTTATCAAGCGATGTACCCTTATCACCTGCATATGGGTTGATTCATCCTCAGTTGATTCCATAAGCAAGAACATGCTCTACGTATGAACAGTTTCTAATACGAGGTTGGTTATTGATGAACAAGTTGATGAATCAAGAATATCAACAGTCTCGTTTAAAGTCATCAATGTAAGTTCTTTGGTGGATACAATGACCTTGTCAGCAAATACAATCTATCTTTAAGTCAAATGCTGACTGACGTTTTCATACTAATAGTTAGGCCATTATATACACACTGAATTGTCGACGGATTTTTCAATTACTTCCCGACCATGACAAGGATCACACGGTGTGACCAGTCGGCAGAGGATGCTCACTCCTCCATGGCACCTGATCCCACCTCTGATGTTTTAGAAGTCCGTGTTTGCTCTGCTCCTGATTTTTGTTTTTGGACTTAAGAGCTTGAATACTGTTCGTTATATATTTAAAGAGAGAGAGAGAGAGAGAGAGAGAGAGAGAGAGAGAGGCATTATTTATCAAAATACACAGTAAACCGAAATCTTACATTCACATACCGTAAGAAAGGAGGGGAAATACTTGTACAAGACTTCAAATCTGATTATTTAATTCATTTCATTCCAACATTGATTTGATATATCACTTTTAACTAGAGGTTAAAGTTACCACAGAGTATGACACATATGACTTATGTCTGGATTTTTTTACAAAAGAATACGGAAATGGTAACCTCGCAAAAAAACTTAAAAAGTAATGATGAAGGTTCTATCTTCAACTTCCCTTATTTTAGGTCTCAAACAAGGAAATAATTTCACTATATATATGTTACTATTTAGCTTTAATTGAATTAATTAACTAGACTCTCAGCAGGTAATTCATGAAAGAGAAAATAAAGATTAATGCTTACTAGAAAATTAGAGATCAGAAAAATACGCCTCATGCGGCCTTTAAGAAAGAAAATTGACAGTAAATATACCTACCCCGAAATACACGTGAGCTTCATATGTTGACTACACATCATGCAGGAAGTTGCATCATGCACACCTAAAAAAGAGTTCCCTTCAATTCAGTGGGACAATTCTGCTAAAGATATGATATTCCTAGTAAATGAGTCCAAAATTAATACCGTAGGCCTAAAAAAGACGCCGAAAATGAAAAAATAAAAATAAATTGTTACTATATACATGTATATTGAACTAAAATTGACTAAGTTGACTATATTGACTTAATTGACTATATAAAACTTTTGAATATTATAGTGGACCATATGATTGATTCAGGATTCAATGGAAGTAATGTACACGGACGTGCTACACGCTCTATTTATAAGTCCATTTGCTGTATTTTTTTTCTCATACGTTTGCGTATAGTACCAGGTGTAGCAAATAAGACACAAAGCAACAAATAATTCAGAGAGTAACGCGGCGTGTTTTCTACATGCTGTAAGGCAGGTAGGGTTTCCGAGGATAATAACTATTTCTAAAATGTAAGGAAAAATTTTTTAAAAAATGTGTAATTCTTGTGACAAGACCTTCCTTCGGATACCAACAAATTTGACCCTTTGACCTTGACCTTGGAGTTTGACCTACTTTTGAAAAACTTTAACCTTGGCCTTAACTTTTGAACGGCTGGTGCTAGGGCTTTCAAACTTCACATATATAATCCTTGTGACAAGACATTCTTTGGATATCAACAACTTTGACCCTTTGACCATGGAGTTTGATCCACTTTTGAAAAACTTTAACATTGGCTATAACTTTTGAACGGCTGGTGCTAGGGCTTTCATACTTCATATATGTAATCCTTGTGACAAGACTTTTCTTTGGATACCAACAACTTTGACCCTTTGACCTTGACCTTATTGTTTGATCTACTTTTGGAAAACTTTAACCTTGGCCATAACTTTTGAACGGTTGGTGCTATGGCTTTCATACTTCACATATATAATCCTTGTGGCAAGACCTTCCTTTGGATACCAACAACTTTGATCCTTTGACCTTGACCTTTGACCTACTTTTGGAAAACTTTAACCTTGGACACAACTTTTGAAGAGTTGTTGCTAGGGCTTTCATATTTAACAGGTTTTTTCCTTGTGGCAAGACCTTTCTTTGGATACTAACAATTGTAATCCATTGACCTTGACCTTGGAGTTTGACCTACTTTTGAGAAACTTTAACCTTGGTCATAACTTTTGAACGATTGGTTCTTCAGCTTTCATATTTCACCTGTATATTTCTTGTGAGAAGGCCTTTCCTTAGGTACTATTAATTTTGACCATTTGACCTTGACCTTGATGATTGACTTACTTTTGAAAAACTTTAACCTTTTCCATATCTATTCAATGGATGCTGTTAGGGCTTTCATATTTCACAGGTGTATTCCTCGAGACAAGACCTTAAATCGGGTACCAACATATTTGATTTGTATTTGAGAAAGTTTAACCTTTGCTATAAGATGCCATACGGGGGCATCAGTGTTTCACAAACACATCTTGTTTTTAAATATGACGAGTGAAAATGAAACAAGAAGTTTGTAAAGATGACAATCCCATGTGAACAGACATCATAAAATGAGTGTTTAAAAATATCATGAACATTGTTTGGTATTCATGTGGAATAAACGTTTATCGATCAAGTAAATTACGATTTATTTTATGACATTTTATGACCCGTATAACAATTGACTAAAAACATCATGAAATGCAAAATAATATATGAAGAAACAAACAACGTTATTAATTGAACATGGCGTTATGAATAGCAATTGTTGTGCTAGTATATTTTTCATGAGTACTATCAAGCAGAGCAAATGATGTACCGTTTTACAAACTGAATTACAGAATAACACACATTGAGTAAATATCTTTGAAAGGAAACTCAAAATCAGATGAATTAAATTAATCTTTATTTTTTTTATATAATATGTATCAACGTTGCATAGTTTCTATACAAACTCGAATCTTCATATATAGAGCAAAAATATACATTTATACATGTACAATTTTGTACATGTACATTGTTTGAAAAAACATGTTCTGGAAATAACTCTAGCAAATTATATGGTTCTTATGAAAGACATCCCCTGTAAAATGACTTGCTTTTTAATTTACTGAATCCTGTGTAAGTTAGATAGAGTACTGGCCTTCTAAACGTGTCGTCAAGTAGTTATTACCACTTCAGTTAAAGCAAAAATCATGTTTGATTTGTGCTGGAGTTCCTAATTTTCTAAATATCCAAGATGGGAAAAATATCTAAATTTAATTTTTTTTTCCACCATTTTGTTTTCTTGTTCTTCAAAGGTCCGTTTGACTCTTCCTGACATGTTTCATAAAATATTCATTTCAGACAAAATCTTTCATTTATAATCCAATGAGGATAGTATCAATACTATGGAATACATGCATTAACTGCAAATTTTAAGCTCTCAAGAGTTTTACTTGCAACCAAAACAATTTTTACATGTACAATTTTTCTCTGAAGATAATCTTTTACCATAATTAAATACGTCTTTCAATGGCAGTTAATAGTGTATATCAGAATAGATATTTTAAAAATCCAATAAATGAAATTTTAGGTTGGTATTCCTCCTTAAGGACATTGGCAAGTCAGGGTTTTCCGGAGAAAAAAAAGTTTAATACATGGGTTTTTTCAGTTATAGAAAAGGTATAGGTATTGAGAGTGATCTCCCGTGTAGAATTCTTTAAGCGGTGAAAACCAATAAAGTGTATGTTACAGAGGTAAACAAAAGCACGTGTATTTCCTTCAACGGGTAGAATCATCTATACAGCAAGAAGGATAAGTAGTAATGGCTTTGCCGTACATTGTATTCAGGGGACAAAGAGCCAACAGGTCGTCATTTACCATAGTTATGCTCAGTATGCTAGGAAGGGCAATGATGTGACATATGCTGAAAGGTAGACAGCCTGAGAACAGTTCTTATGTCGTGTGAAGGAAGCAGCATTTAGTAACTACGATTAAAAGTTAAAAATAAATTCATGCCAATATTCTTATGACAATGTGTTTCAATTAATTCTGTCAATTACATGATAGAAATAATGTACCAGTCTCTTGACCAATATTTTGCTGTTAAGGGAAGTAACTCAAAAATAATGATTGGTGCCGGTATGTCAATGTCTTGTTTCTATATATACATTTTCAGACAAAATATCTAGAAGTCATAGGAAATGAAGCTACAGTAATGTATATAATACAAAAACCAAATGAAATAAGTGGGTTTTGGAGAAATATTATGGTGAAAAATTATGTACGTCCCTTTTATCAACATTTTACATAGAAAATGCATTGAGAATTGTAAAAACACTGATTTGACAAAATCTAAGAAAGAAGGTTGGCTTGGTAGGTTAAACGTTGCAGAATATAGCCTGTTTAGTCCAATTAAACCTACTCAGCAGTTCTTGAAAAATTCTATACAATAACCTGGAACCTTGCCAACGCCCTTAAATTGCTTACTACACTGTACGTAATGCGTCATTAGGTAAATTCTATGTTTTCAAAAAATTTTATTTTTAAGTTTCTTGGCATTATTACGTAAAAATGATGATTTTGCACAATTTTAGGTAGGGCAAAATACGTAAAGTATACAAAATCTTCATTAATATTTTGCAGGTAGTGGAGGTGCGTTGCCATCTTCTCCAGAAGGTCCCAGCTGTTGACTAAATTCATGTTGTGGTTGCCCATATCCTTGTGGTTGCCCATAGCCTTGTGGTTGTCCAAATCCTTGTGGTGGCCCAAATCCTTGTGGTGGTCCATACCCTGATTGTGGTGGATACCCCGGTGGTACCCCATATACGACTTGTCCATATTGAACCTGAGTGGGCTGTACAAATCCGGGTTGACCATAATTAGCTTTTGAAAAACAAAATTCAAAATTCATATTGACACATCACATGTATATGCATAGATTTTTAAATTAAGAATTTATAAATCAATTATTGTTTGAAAAGTCAAATTTGCAAACATTTGCTTGTCATCACACGGTGGCATTTTCATACAGCATTTATGGAATTCTATATAGGTAATTGTTGCTTCACTTGGCAACACACATGATCACTAGAACTCTTCAGTTTCTTAATTGCATTGATTTTGAGAGTATAACAAATTTGTATTGAAATTTTACATAGCACTCATGTTAACAGTTTTGAATTTGATACAAAGCTCTAACACTATGTACCTGTATGCGTTGCGTTTACACTAGTGACTGTGGTCCCTGCTGGTTGAATATTAATAACAGTAGTTCTTCGTTGAGCCGGTTTGCATTTTTTGCAGACGACTGCAACACAAAATATTACTATACCAGCGAAAACTACACAACCAATGACAGCTCCAATGATGGCACCAGTAGTAGAACCGTCATAGCTACTATAATAATAATAGCATCTATATCCCGAAGACGAGGAATAATAGCAGTAGGAAGCCGCTGATAACACGTGATGACCTAAAAAAAATATAAACGGAATACTCATACCGTACACGTGCGCAAAGACAAGGTACCTGCATCATTCGTTTCTTGCAGTAACATTCAGCAAATATTTAAAAAAAAAAAAATAAATAAATAAATAAAAGTCTTGAACTTCGAGTGTTAAGAATAATTTTGAAGTATGTGTTATTTTGCCAAAGTTCAGCATCTGTATGTTTCAAAATACAATACAGATATCACGAAACACACATTCTCTCTCTCTCTCTCTCTCATTTTAAGGGAATAATGAAATAAACAATACTAGTTAATAAATGAAAAACGATTAAAAAAAAAATTATGAAGACAATTTATATGCTAACTTGTGATTTGAAGCTTTTGATTTTACACACTGAAAATATGAATAGTGTCGTTGGATATAATAAAAGAATCATATCTTAAACTCTTGTATTATTTCACTATCAACAATTAATCTACAATAAGAATTAGAAGCACATATTTTGTATCGATTAAAACATGGTAATCAAACACAAGCGAGATATACTGTGATCGAATATATAAAATCTAATCTTCCAGTAGAACAGCTTTAGAATTATATTAAAATCCAACTGTGATATTTTTTTCATAAAAATAAAATAAACAAATTAAATATATACTTACATATAATGCTAAAGAAGCTGGATAAAAATATGGATGTATTTAAAACGGCTGATGATAAGGCCATAACTTTTGAAAAGTTGCAGTGAGAACGAATATGAGGTAAAACACGCAGTTTCCGTAATATAAATCAGGTGCACGTGATAGAATCAATTTAGAGTTCGGGTACCTGACACACATTGAATCACGAAATCCATTTAAATAGCAGAAAGAATACAGACAATTACATTGTTTTTCTTCATGGTCCACAGGAACATGTATTCAGCCTGTGCTTTTTGGTCAGGACACTTTTGTGTCAATTTTGGGGGTGTAGTGTCCGGAATTATCCGTCCCCGGTTTTGATTTTATTTTTAAGTGTTTGTTTCCGCCCAAGTCAACAATACATGTGTTTACAGATATTTTGCTTGTCTTGTCCTCTCATGGTGTAAGTTTTGTTGCTTTATTTAATTTGTAATCATAAATTGATTTATAAACGTTTAAATATCGTATACGCCAAATGTCATTGGTGAACATTATGTATGTTTTGCATAATTCTACATTTTTATCTGCTATTTTTTGTAACTGGTTCACTTAATATGGCGGACAATTTAGGTCATTTTTATATATATTCATATCATATCGGTACACTGTATTGTGTCATTTTCTCTTCATAAAGCATGTTAATAATTGATAACTTCAGGTAATAACAAGTCTTATTGTCAGTACAATTTATTGTGAAACTTATGCATTGATTGTGTCTAAATGTGTGTTATTTGTTTGTAGTTTTTTACCCTCTTCCGAGAGGTCTGCGAATAAAGCATAACTTCACAGTAAAAAAACCATTGCTTGGACACAGACTCACCATCATGGTAGATGCTCTGGCATTAAGGAAATCCCGCAACATTACCTTAGCTGCCATGGAACAGTTCGAGGAAAAAGTTAACAGGCACGTATTCAAGTTAGGAAACATCAAGAGAGACATTGATTCCATCCTCATGGATATGGAAGAAAACCCAGTCATGAATCTCGAGCGTGCAAAGACTTGCAAAACTTCATTGAATAAATACATGTTGCAATATGAAAAGGCCTCTGCGGAATATGTAGCATATTTACGAAGTCAACGCCACGAAGCCAGTACGAGAGAGGAAGCCTCCAGGTCCCTCATCGCAACTGCATTACAAGAAAAAGTGACATCAGTGTTGAAACAGTTAAACTCCATACTACCTAACACAAGATCGCAGAAGTCAGCATACAGTCAAGGGTCCTCATCCTCACGTCTCACATCTGTAGTGCTACAACATACAGCGAAGGTTGAGGAAGCACGAATGAAACTGAAATACGCTAAAGAAGAAGCGGATTTGATGAGAAAAGAAGCAGAGATTAAGGCAGCCCAGCGTCTACTCACGGTCAAGAAAGAGTTTGAGGCAGCCCAGTCAAGTTTGACGGCAATAAAGAAATGTCTTGAATACGACTCTCTTGGAGAAAGCTACATACCACCCTGTGAAAATGACCTAGGTGAAGATGATCCATATCAAACAGACAATACTTACACAGTTGAACCGTCCAAATATCAGGATCATTGTGAATATACAGAAAAACCAAGAGAACTTCCTAACACTAACACAAGTGAACACACTAATCTTAGTGAATCTTCAGAAAGACCAAGAGAACCTGTAAACAACTACAACAGTGAGTGCTCAGATCAAGTTCAATGTATTTCACAGACACCAGAAGAAAAACCGCAGAAACCTCTGAACCCAACTGCTCCAGAGTTTGTTGTCGTTCAACCGGAGAAAAATGTTATAAGTGAAACAAATGAACTTGCTAAGTTGTTGGCCAAAAAGCAACTTATACCAACAAGACTAACTGCATTTGATGATGTCCCAGGACATTACCTCGTCTGGAAATCAACATTTGAAAATGTGACAAATGAACTGGGTGCTTCTGTTATGGAAAAACTTGACCTCTTGATCCAGAACCTTGGAATGAAGTCTAAGCAGCAGGCTCTCAACATCCGTTCAGCAAATCCCCATGACCCCTCCAGAGCATTGCGTCTGATATGGGAAAGATTGGATTCAAAATTTGGGAGTCCAGAGAGCATTGAATCATCACTGAAGAACAGAGTCGCAGCTTTTCCTACCTTAAAGAACTCAAACAGAAGTGAGCTTTTTGAACTCGCAGACATTCTGATGGAGATTGAGTCAATCATGCAGAATGAAAAGTATGCAAAACTCTTCTCATATTATGACTCCTCAGGTGGCGTAAACCCGATTGTCAGAAAATTACCTCCAAGCATTCAGGAGAAGTGGACAAATGAAGCTAACAAGTATAAACAGAAAAATAGTGTGATCTATCCGCCATTTTCTGTCTTTTCCGCATTTGTTAATAATATCGCAAAGATACGCAATGACCCTAGTTTCATATATGAAACTACTGAAAGTGCGCAGCAGAGTGATGGATGTAAACATGTCAGAAGAACAAGTTATATCAAGACGCAAGTGTCCTCAAGGAAAACAGATGTGACCACAGAAAGCTGTCCAGTGCATGGAACCAACCATACACTCAATGCGTGTAGGCAATTTCGCATAAGGCCACTACAAGAAAGGAAAGATTTCATCAGAGAAAATGGCTTCTGTTTCAAGTGCTGCGGACCAAAGAAACATTTCCAATCAAACTGTAAAATGACTGTAAAGTGTGATGTTTGTAACTCTTCCAAGCACCCATCAGCACTTCATCCAGACTTACGAAGGTCTTCTGTGAAAGATCACGAGGGGGAGAAATTCATTCAAGAAGTGAGTGTAACGAACAAGTGTACAAAAATATGTAACACTCGAGGAAATACATCAAAATCATGTGCCAAGATAATTTTAGTGAGAGTGTACCCCCAAGGAAGAAAGAACTTGTCTAGAGAACTCTATTGTATGATAGACGAACAAAGTAATCGATCCCTTGCAGTCTCACAGTTCTTCAATGCCTTTGGAGAATGTGGAAGTGAAATAGAATATGTCCTATCATCTTGTGCTGGTAAATTCAATACAGCTGGACGCAGAGCCTCGGGATACATGGTGGAATCTATTGATGGAACATGTACTTTGCAGCTGCCTGATTTGATAGAGTGCAATGATATCCCGAACAATAGAGAAGAAATCCCATCACCTGGAGTGGCACAATCTTTTCCCCACCTGAACGACATTGCACATCTCATACCACCTTTAGACAAATGTATAGACATTGAGTTACTGATCGGTCGTGACCTCATTATGGCACATCATGTGTTAGACCACAGAATCGGGAAGGATAACTTACCTTATGGACAACAACTGCCACTTGGATGGGTTATCATCGGAAATGTCTGCCTCGGAACGGTACATAGCCCAGACATTGTCAACGTCAACAAAACCACCATTCTAAGTAATGGACGTCCCACCATGATGATTCCGTGTGATAGTGAGATTAAGATTGACTTTGACTCAATTTTTAGAAGAACGGATCAGGATGAGAAGCCAGGATTATCAGTTGAGGATAAAGACTTTCTCAATATTATAGGTTCTGGAATACAGAAGACAGATCAAGGTCATTGGATGGCTCCACTCCCTTTTCGATCTACCAGGAGAACCTTGCCAAACAACAAGGAAGCAGCTGAACGGCGTGCCAGATCCTTTGATGCAAGTTTGAAGCACAATGGACAAAAACGCGAGCATGTGATTGACTTTATGCAGAAGTTATTTGATAATAACCATGCAGAAAAGGCCCCAGATTTGGATGAAGGAAACGAATGCTGGTATCTTCCGCTCTTTGGAGTATACCATACCAAAAAGCCAGACAGCATAAGAATGGTTTTTGATTCATCTGCCAAATTCTGTGATGTATCTCTAAATGATGTGCTGCTCAAAGGACCCGACCTTAGCAATAGCTTGCTAGGAATCTTGATGCGCTTCAGAAAGGAAGCAGTAGCAGTAACAATGGATGTGGAACAAATGTTCTATAACTTCAAAGTGAGCCCTGAACACAGAGACTTTTTGAGATTTTTGTGGCACGAGGATAATGATTTCAACCGCCCACTTACCACCTTCCGTATGACAGTGCACGTCTTTGGGAATAGCCCCTCACCCTCCGTCGCCACTTATGGTCTGAGAAAATCAGTAGAATCATCCAGTGAAGACGTCAAAGATCTCATAAACAATAATTTTTATGTTGACGATGGTCTATTGTCATGTTTCAGTGAGGAAGAAGCCATAAGCCTTGTACATAGGACAAAGGGGGCGCTTAATGAAGGAGGGAAGTTAAGACTTCACAAATTCACATCGAATAGCAGAACACTTCTCGATTCATTTCCATCAAGTGACCTCGCCAAGAACCTGAAAGACCTTGACCTCGGTGCAGCGTCACTACCACTACAGAGAAGTTTAGGACTTTTATGGGATACAGACTCAGACGTCTTCTTGTTTAAGGTGTCAGATGAGCAGAAA